CTATCTATCTATCTATAATATGTATATATAACACATCTAATCTATTATCTATCTACTAGATACACACAACACACACATATATGTGTGTGTGTGTGTGTGATCTATAGACGTACACACAGCAGAAACAGCATTACTGACCACGCAGCCACACTGAGCACGTGACCACCGCCCGCTGCAACTTACTTCTCTTCGCCAAGTCCAAATCCGGAATCCGGGCGTGGGCGTGGGCGTGAGCGATAAGAAAGTGAAAACATGAAGCGGCAACCTCAGAGGCGGAATCAGGGCGATAAACGTTTCTTCAAACTTAGACTCTAGTGCATGACAGGCGTGACAACCTTAAGGAACCAGTGACACACACTCTGAATATCAGGTTATCTATTTTTCTATCCCTTGATTATTTTATTTTTTTAAAAAGTTGTAACGGGTTGTATGTGTCATGACTTGTTAAAAGGGGCGTGACAAGGTTTGCTGTCATATGAGGGCGTGTGGATGTTTTATCAGCTCAGTTGACAGGCAATATGTCGATTAGGGAGTAAGCAATGTTGCTCCTTGCTTTAAATTTACGGAATCTACACTGACAAGCTTAAAAGATACGTGCTTAGTACTTATATATGCATGAAAACAGATATACAAACTCAGTATTATCTATATACACAAGGAAACACATAAACAGACCTAGTAGTATTTATACATACAAGGAAACACATAAACAGACCTAGTAGTATTTATACATACAAGGAAACACATAAACAGACCTAGTAGTATTTATATATACATGGAAACACATATATATTCAGAGATATATACTCGGGGCTGGGTCTCCTTTCAGCTTAAAATGCTAGAAGTGTTGTTTTACCTCACGTGACACACCTACACCCTCTCAGCATGAGCAGTTTGATCTGAAACCCACACAGCGACTCACGATCGGAGATAACCTCATAAATCTTGTCCTCCCAAAAGATCTGTTGGATGCTTATACTCGTCAGACTCTCTGTATCTCTTTCTTTCTGTCTCTACACATCTCTTCTTCAGTCTCTATCTATCTCTTTGCTTCTACTTCTGTTTCTCTACTCTCTCAGTTTCTCCTCTCTCCTATCGCGATCATCTGCCTCCCCCCATCCACTCTCACCTCTCTTACGCTACCCTTATCTTTTCCCTCTGTCCTTCATCTGCGATCCCTCATCCCCTCATCTTATCTCTCTCATCTCCTTCCCATCCATTCCTGCTCCTCTCACCCATTCCTTCCCCCTCCCTAAATCATACTCTCCTCTCCTTTCCCAATCCTTACCACCCTCACCTCGTCCCATCTAATTCTACTCAGCGACTGCCTTCCCCTCCCACATCCTTTCCCCGTTCCCTATCCATCTCATTCCTCTCCTTCTATTCCCTTCCCCCCCTCATCCATCTCGTCCTCTCCTTAACTCCTCCCGCCCCTCCTCTCCATAATCTTCCCCCCTCCCACTCCTTCCACCCCTCCCTCTCCATTCCATCCAATCTCCCCTCCTCTCCATCTTTCCTCCCTCCACCCTTTCCCCGCCTCCCTTCTCTCTCACACTCCCTTCCCCACCCTCCTAATCCATCTGCTCCTGTTTTCCTCTCACCCATCCATAATCCCTAACCTCCCCATCCCTTCCTCTTCCACTCCCTTCCCCTCCCTCTCCCATCTGCCTTCCCATCGCTCCTCTCCATCCTTCCATCCTCCCCCTCCCACTTTCCCCCCCTCTCTCACCACTCCTTCCCTTCCTCTCCACTCCTCCCCCCCTGTCCCTTCCCCCCCTCCCACCCATCCCTCTCCCTCTCCTTGGTCCCCCTCGGCTCACCATGCCGGGCCGAATCTTGAAGTAACGAAAAAACCGCTTGCTCCTTTGTTCCCCTTCGTTTCCTCTCCACTCCAAATACCTCCCTCCTCTCCACTCTTTCCCACCTCCTCGTCCTCTCGCCACCTCCCCCCTCCTCTTCCACTCCCATCCTTACCCCTCGAGCTCGACCTGAATGCCAGTTCTTTGAAGTACGAACAAAAAACCGCTTTGCTCTCGTTCCCCTCCGTCTCCCTGTGCTGCACCGGCCCGCCCCCGAGGAGGTTGTCCAGCTCCACGGTCTTGATGGCTGCCACACCCGCCTCGTCCAGTGCTGGTCTCGGATCCAAGCCAGAAGTGGGATGTGGATGTCCAAAGCTCCCTTGGGCGGATGCGGCTGTGGGGGGGGAGGGGGAGGGGTAAGTGTGGCGTGTTTGGTGAAACGTCTTGTTTTTGATTAAATACACACTCATACGCACACACGCACACACACACACACACCACACACACACACACACACAACACACACACACACACACACACATATATATATATATATATATATATAGTATTATTTCGTAGATTTCTAGGAGCCTTTGGAATACAAATTGTGGTTTTACTGGATTCTGACAAAGATGGTCTACGCATATTTCAAATACACTGAAAGGAAAAAAAAAAAAAAAAAAAAAAAAAAAAAAGGAAAAAAAAAAAACAACAAAAAAATCTCTGAATTATAATCATATCATTTTTCTCTCACCGTGTCGTCCATGCCTGCAGGTTTGCCATACTCCGAGGCTGAGAAAACGATGTAGGAGTCGCCCTTGTGGAACTTGCCGTACTCCTCTCGCTTCAGCGCCACCAGCTGGAGGTTCTGCAGGAGATAAGGGCCAGAAAGATGAACCCATTGTCGAGGGATATTTTACGTCTCTCTCTCTCTCTCCGTTTTCTATTTGCTGTTGTATTTTTCGATTTATTTACGTTTGACAATTGAAATTAGAGGTGAGATTGCATTCAAGACAACAGCAATACAATGCATATAAAGAGTGTAATATATACAAACATCGCATTAAAAGAAACGAAAGAAGAAAGAGAAAGAGAAAAAAAGAAAAGAAAAGAGAAAAAAATACTACACAGGTGCATTGTTTTGTATTCCGCACAAAGAGAAAAATCGGTGACGTTGGTGGCTACTGACCTCGACTCGCCAGATGATAAAACATGTCGAGTTCTTAGGGATGATGTTGAAGGCCGGGTCTTTAGGAATTTCGCCCATA